CATATATTGTAAGGTCATGTGTTTCCTGGGAATCAAACCCATGACTGAACCCTGTAGCCTAAGTGTCTGCTAAATAATTAAATGCAAATGCTAGATAAAAGTAGTTGCATTTTATTATTTATTTATTATGATGTATTTGGCGCTTTTTATAGCCACAAGTTCTACAGATCGTGTTTTGATTCTGCTGATTAGCAGTTGGGGTGATCTTATTATCCCTGCAGTATTCAGTATGATCTGATGATGCTGGTCACTGCAGAAATAAAGAGACAGAGCGGATGAGAAGGAGTCAGACTGAGCTAGCGCTGGGCACTAATTACTTCTAGCCTGCCGCCACTCAAGTGCCAACATCTGCTGCAATCAGGCCAGTTCTGCTCTCAGCCGAGGAGCTGTTGAAGAGAAAGCCTCTCTCAAGAGTCAACAAGCAGTCAAACGGCACCGGCTCTACACTTATCTCTTTCTCCCTTTACTTTAAAGACTGCACTGCAAGGACGGCTAGTTTAAAAGCAAGAAGGGTTGTAAAAAGTGTGAGCTGCATGCATTTATAAGTATGTGTGTGAGAGTGGGAAGTGTGTGCATATGTGCCTTTCAGTGTGTTGTAATTGCCTCGAGTCTTGTAGATATGGCTCATGTTACATTTGCATATGCGTTTACCAGCCAATTTATACTCGTTAGCAGTTCCTGCTAATGGCAAGTAAGTCTGTTAGTCAGCCATATGCTCTGTTCACTTGCTTAATAAATGTTTGTGGATCCAAACCTGTGTGACTTTCTTTCTTCTGTGAAAGATATTCTGAAGAACGTTGGGTAAGAAACAATATTAGATCCCATTTACTTCCATTATGTGAAAAAATTCTCAAAATATCCTGAAAATGATCCCTTTAATGCACAATGGTGCACTTTACAGGATCCATATAAGGTGGCAGTTTGAAACACAGTCCGTATTTATATTTAGATCTGAATCTTCCTTTGTTTAGCACATATGTAAAGAAATAAACCAGCTCAGCACTTGGGTGGTTATTTTAGTTTTTTCCTGGGCTTTTGTTTGCTTCATAGTGCACATTGTCTCACAGTAGGTCTGACCTACATTGGCTTATACCCACCTTTATACTTCATTTAGCATCTAGACTTCCAGATATTAACATTTATTTCTCAAGATTCTGGGACTTTCTGGAAGTGTTTTTTTTTTTTTTTGGTTTGAGACAACTCTCAGATAGAAAATGATTTCCTCCTGTTCTCGTAGACTCAGGATAAGCTCTGATGTATAGAGATGCTGTGATGTTGTGAGAATCTCACTGGCTTCATTTCCAGATGCCTGTGGAGACATCCCCTGCTGTTGACCTTACACACCTCACTTTGGTCTGCTCAGACAAAACATTAACTTTATACTGTGCAATATTTTGCATACCGATGTGTAGGGTAAACAGTGATAATTTAATAATTTAGCTCAAAGGGAATCATTTGAAGAGTGTTTGGGTTGTTTATACCTTTTCTGCTTTCTGTAATAAGAATCTATGCCTGAAAGTTGTGCTTGCGACTTTTATTCTTTGTTGCTGGCCTGTCTTGCTTCTGAAACATAGTTTTGGATGCCATTGGTACCGACTGGCCTCTAACAAGATGGTTAAAACAGGCCTGCTCACTTAGCCCAGGGAAGAGTGAAATAAAAGCTTAGCCTTTGGATGAGGCTGACCTACAAAACATTTCCAAACAGTGCTTGTTGTGTTACTGTACCAGAAGTTTTGATGGCATAGAGTGGCTTTGCTATTTGGTGAAGTAGAGAACACATTCACAACTTTACCTTTCACCTTTACTTCTTTCCAAGCAACATGAAATATTTTAAATATTGAAAATGTATTCTAAAAATACATTTGTAAATTTAATTTGGGTTAAAAATAATAATCACAAATATACGATGAAGACTAGAATATGATATTACTTGACAATTTGTACTATAGTGTAATATTCACAAAATAAGACATTACGCTATGAATAATCAGTCTGAATAATTTATTTTGGATAAGAAATTAATGTGCATTTATTATTGATTCAGTAAAAAAGGTAAAGACATTAAAAAGACTGTTAAATACACATTGATAATTTTATATATTTTTTTATTACAGTTGTGCTCACAAGTTTACATACCCCTTGCAGAATGTGCAAAATGTTAATAATTGAAACAAAATAAGATGGATCATGAAAATTGCATGTTATTTTTTATTTAGTACTGTCCTGAGTAAGCTATTTCACATAACAGATGTTTACATATACTCCACAAGACAAAATAATAACTGAATTTATAAAAATGACCCCATTCAAAAGTTTACAATCTTAATACTATGTGTCATTTCCTGGATGATCCATGACTGTTTGTATATTTTGTGACAGTTGTTCATGAGTAACTTTGTTGGTCCTGAGCAGTTCAACTGCCTGCTGTTCTTCAGAAAAATCCTCCAGCTCCTGCATATTTGAACCCTTTCCAACATTGACTGTATGATTTTGAAATCCATCTTTTAACACTGAAGTCAAATGAGGGACTCATGCATAACTATTAAAAAAAGTGAAAACATGTACTGATGCTAAAGAAAGCGACACAATGCATTAAGAGATGGGGGGTGACCCCCACCAAACCCCGCCTCTGCAGTGATCATTTTACACCGGATAAATTTATAAACTTTCATTGGAGACAACTGGGATTCACTGATAATCCGCTGTTACTGGTAAATGGGGCTGAACCGACTATTTCCCACCTCTGGCTTCATCCTCTCGTCCCGCCGACAACTGGTGCCATCGTCGGCAGTACGTGCCCACCATTAAGTAAGTAAGTTAACTTGTGTGCTTGTGTGGTTTCAGCGCAAAAAGCGGACACGCCTCCAGCGTTTGAGAGCAGAGGATACCGCCCATTTTTTCAAGATTTTGATCACTTATTTTATTTACTTGATGGATTTTTTCATCATTCAAATTTGGCTGAGTGGTTAATAATACATTTTTGTGTGGTGTGACAAACTCAGAACACATATTTAATATTGCCTTTACAGGGACTTTAAGATTCAAGTAAACTTTTGAATGGGGTCATTTTTATAAATTCAGTTATTTTGTCTTGTGGAGTATATGTAAACATCTGTTATGTGAAATAGCTTATTCAGGACAGTACTAAATAAAAAAATAACATGCAATTTTCATGATCCCTCTTATTTTGTTTAAATTATTAACATTTTGCACATTCTGCAAGGGGTGTGTAAACTTATGAGCACAACTGTATATATTATAATGCCAATAATTAAAAATATGTAATTTAATTAAAAGAATAATTCAATATTTATAGCAAAATTATGACCAATTATACAGTATTATAATACAATTATAATAATATAACATAATATAATATTACATTTTGTAGTATAGTCAATGCATGGAATTTTTATTATTAGATTGATGCACCATTTTTAAAGTCATCGTTTTGACTTTAAGTCTTGACTATTCTAGTCAGTCTAGTTAGTTTTTGATTACCAAGTATGCCAGTCATTGAATCTGGACCAGTAAATGTAAATGGAGTGCATGACTTTCATGTGTACATGTGAACTTGTTTAACAAAATTAACTTTCCTGCTTCAGCAATATAATGACATTCTGTAATTTCCAGTAAATTACATTTGAACTGTAATTTCCTCTAAATTAAATGTGGACATGGTTTGTGGAAAAGCTGATGGTTGCTCATAAACTCGATTGGGCGTCCTTCTCAAAGCGTACTTTCAACACCAAATTCTGAAAATTTTACACCGGTTGAAAATGCCATAATGTCCATCCGTATTACCATCTCATGTGAAGGGCATAAAACTGCACTATCCCATCCTCTCTCTCTCTGTTTGTATGCTTTATTGTCCAGAAGCAAAGCTCCATGGGGATGCTGGTGGATTTTGCCTTACGGCCCTTGCTGGAGATTGGTATTGATCAGAGATTGATTGGGTGAACTCCTCGTTAAGGGGATGTCGAGATGAAGCTGTAAATCTGCTGAATCATATTTTAGAGGCTGACTCGCATTGATGTGGCTCACCAGAGGCTTCATTAATTGGTGGGGGCTTTCACCTTCTTTCCTGCCTTGCATTGTTGGAATAGACAGGATTAGCTGGGCCAGGGAAATCAGAGGGAAACGACAGACCTTGATTAAGATATCTAACATCACACTAGAGATATTACAGTTAAGAAAAGCTTTTTATTTTTCCATAAGTTGTTTCTGACCATACTGAAGTTGAATTAAAAGATGACCCTTGAGGCAAAGCACAAAGACTGTTTGCCTTCACCTTTTAAAAGAGTATATCCGAAAGTCTAATTAAATTCTCAATTTAGAATCAGAAGTCATATCAAATTTAAAGTCAGAGTTTTAGATTTCCTGCAAAATTTCCTCTGACTCTTCTCTTTGAGAGTTTTGTGACGAACGGTAGATGAAGGGTATTGGGGTCACTAGAAGCGGATATGTCTGTGCTTGTCTCCTGTTAGCTGTGACTTACTCAACCTTGAAGTCAGGAGTCAACTGCTCTACAAACACTAATAGAATAAAGACGTGCTGTCAGTAGACTGTGACTGCAGTGCCTGAGAAGTTGAGCTAAAGGTGAAGTCACACTAGTTTGTGCTTTATTCTCTTTCATTGATGCGCATACAAGCATAGGAGAATTGAAATCAAAGTACATGTGAAATCTTTTGCTGCTTTCTAAAGATAATATTTGGTCAACCCTGACCTTGTAATATGTGTAGTGAAAAGATGTATGACCAGTAGAGGATGTAAACATCACAGCTTCAATACAAAGCATTAGAGTTCCTGGAAAACCTGGTGTGACGAGAGACCATTTCTGCGGTTCACGTTCGAAGGACGAGCATATCAGTAAGAGGTCCTGCCCTCCGGGCTGTCCCTGTCACCCCGTGTCTTCACGTAAGCTGCGGAGGCAGCCCTTGTTCCCCTGAGAGAACAGGGCGTTTGCATTCCCAACTACCTCAATGACTGGCTCGTACTAGCTCGGTCTCAGCATCAGTTGTGTGCAAACAGGGACTTGGTGCTTTCGCACCTCAACCGGTTGGGCCATCAGGTCAACTGGGAAAAGAGCAAACTCTCCCCGATGCAGAGGATCTCTTTTCTCGGTATGGAGTTGGATTCGGTCGAACAGACAGCACGCCTCACAGAGAAACATGCGCGGTCGGTGCTGAACTGCTTGAATTCATTCAAGAGCAGGACAGCGGTCCCACTGAAACTGTTTCAGAGGCTCCTGGGGCATATGGCAGCTGCAGCGGCAGTTACGCCGCTGGCGCTGCTTCATATGAGACCGCTCCAGCACGTGCTTCATGGCCGAGTCCCGAGGTAGGCGTGGCAGCGTGGCAGCGCGGCACTCACCGGGTCGAAGTTACACCGGCCTGTCGCCAAACCTTCACCCTGTGGTCATACCTTACGTTCCTCTGGGCAGGAGTGCCCCAAGAACAGGTCTCCAGGCATGCTGTGGTTTACACGGATACCTCCACCACCGGCTGGGGGGCCACGTACAACAGGCACGCAGTGTCGGGGGTATGGACGGGTCCCCAACTGCACTGGCATATCAGTTGCCTAGAGTTGTTAGCAGTGTGCCTTGCCTTGAACCGTCTCAAAGGATGCTTACAAGGCAAGCACATGCTGGTCCGAACGGACAACACGGCGACCGTTGCGTACATCAATCGACAAGGTGGTCTGCGCTCCCATCGCAACTCGCCCCCCACCTCCTCCTTTGGAGTCAGAAAGTTCTGAGGTCACTTCATGCCATTCACATTCCGGGGCTGTCACGAGCTACGCTCCTGGGAGAATGGAGACTCCATTCCCAGACGGTCCAGCTGTTTTGGAGACGTTTCGGAGCCGCTCAGGTAGACCTGTTTGCCTCTCTAGAAACCTCTCACTGCCAGTTGTTCTACTCCCTGACCGAGGGAACACTCGACACGGACACACTGGCGCACAGCTGGCTGCGGGGCCTGCGCAAGTATGTATTTCTCCCAGTGAGCCTTCTCGCACAGACGCTGTGCAAGGTCAGGGAGGACGAGGAGCAGGTCCTGCTTGTGGCGCCGTATTGGCCCACTCGGACCTGGATCCCCGAACTAATGCTCCTCACGACAGCCCCTCCCTGGCAGATTCCTCTTAGGTAGGATATACTGACTCAGAGACAGGGCACCCTGTGGCACCCGCGTCCAGACCTCTGGAAACTTCATGTCTGGTCCCTGGATGGGACGCGGAGGTTCTTGGTGACCAACCCCAAGAGGTAGTTGACACCAGCACTTCGGCAAGAGCGAGACACGCTTACGCCTTGAAGTGAAACCTGTTCGTCGAGTGGTGTTCTTCTCACCGGGAAGACCCCCGATCGTGGTTTCCTTTTTGCAGCAAGGGCTTCCACCCTTAAAATCTATGTTGCTGCGATTGCTGCTAACCATGACCCCGTGGAAGGGAACTCTAAGCAGAGGATGGCCCACTGGAAAGTGCATGCCATCACCCTGGCTTATCAGGCTCAGGGTGTGCCCTGCCCGCTAAGTTTGCGAGCTCACTCTACTAGGAGTGTTGCATCCTCCTGGGCGCTGACTCGTGGTGCCTCGCTGACAGATATTTGTAGAGCTGCGGGCTGGGCGACCCCCAACACGTTCGCTAGATTCT